AGTGTTTGAATGCGAAGAATGCGAATTGGAACACTGGAAGTCTTGTATCTTCGAAGATCCCACCAATGAATTGCTAGGTAATCCTTCACTTTGCAACATATCTTGTTTCCCCTTAGGAGCCCATGCTATCGAGCGAAAGAATACCTAACAGTCCTCTAGTGGTTTGTGCTCGTAAACGGTCAGGTAACCTCCGTTCGGTAGCAAACTTAACTTCCCAGTGGGAATTTGCTATCGAAGCAAAGATTATCTAATCGTCCCCGAGTGCAAACTTGTTCGTTTGCCTTGTTATGAAAGGTCTTATCTCTGCTGTCTTCGTAGTATACTTTTCGTCGCTGCCTCATTAAAAACCTTGCCAGAAAAACCCAATTGGGACAAAAACTGAACTAAAGGAAAAAGAGTGCAACATATACTTTCCATTTGACTATTGTTTGTCAGTAGTAATATCTTTAGAGGTGAGCCACGTTCCAGTTATTGGGAAATTTGTTTCCGTTCTGGTTCTCCAACTCTTATGATCCTTTCCCAGTGATAGCTGAAACCTGGTAAGGGCCTTCCCATGTTGGGCCTAACTTGCCCGCGTTGATTTCCTGGGTGTTTTGAGTTACCTTCCGCGAGACCAAGTCTCCTACTTTGAAATAACTAAGGTTGGATCTTCGATTATTATATCGCTCCATTCTCCGCTTTTGAGCTGCCATTCTGACATGCGCCAAGTCCCTGCGTTCCCTGAGCAGCTCCAAGTTGATTAGCATTGCTTCGTTGTTCGATTCTTCGTTCGCCTGGAAATACCTTAAGGTTGGTTCCCCTAATTCCACCGGTATCAAAGCTTATGCGCCGTACACAAGGGAAAAAGGGGTTTCTCCCGTGCTTGACTTGGCCATTGTTCGGTAGGCCCATAGAACCCCAGGTAATTCTTCGGGCCAGTTGCCTTTTGCTGCTTCCAACTTTTTCTTTAGGTTTTGTATAATCACTTTGTTTGTTGACTCTGCTTGACCATTTGCACTCGTATGATAAGGTGAAGAGGTAATCCTCTTTATCTTCAAATCTTCAAGAAACTTTGTAACTTTTGCGCCGATAAACTGTGGCACATTGTCGCATGTAATCTCTTTTGGTATTTCAAACCTGAAAATTATGTTTTTCCACAAGAAGTCAACCACTTCGCATTCTCCGATCTTCTGATAAGGACCTGCTTCCACCCATTTGGAAAAATAGTCAGTCAAAATTAAAAGAAACCTTACCTTTCCGGGAGCTGGTGGTAGTGGTCCGACGATCTCCATTCCCTATTTCATGAACGGCCACGGGGACAGAACCGAATGTAGGGGTTCTGCCGGTTGATGTACTAGTGGTGCGTAGTGTTGGAACTTATCATATTTTTGTACTAAATCTTTGGCATCTAGCTCCATACGGGGCCAGTAATATCCTGCCCGAACTAATTTCAGCACCAAAGAATCTGCACCCGAGTGGTTACCGCATATGCCTTCATGGACTTCTCTCATGACATAGTTAGCTTCTGATGCTCCTAAGCACCGGGCCAACGGGCCTTGAAAGGATTTTCTGTACAATTGGCCTTTTTTAAATGCTATATCCTACAGCTTTGGCGTGCAACGCTCTTGATGCTTTGGGGTCTTCGGGAAACTTTCCATGCTCGAGATAATCGATTATTTCGTTTCTACAGTCCCAGACCAAACTAGTCGAATTTACCTCATAGTAATATGTGTCCAAGACTGAGTTCATCACTTGTAATACCGTCCCTGATTCTGATCCCTGGATTTCTGTCGATGAGCCCAAATTTGCCAATGCATCTGCTTCCGCATTGTCTTCCCTCGGGATATGAGTAATTGACCACTCTCGGAATCGTGCCAATAAAGCCTGAACTTTTACCACGTATTGCTGCATACGTTCTTCTTTGGTGTCAAAAATTCCGTAGACCTGATTCACCACCAACTGCGAATCACATTTGATTTCGATGACTTTGGAGTCAAGTCCCCAGGCCAATTCGAGCCCTGCAATCAAAGCTTCGTACTCTACTTCATTGTTAGTTAAAGGAATAGTTCTGATGGCTTGCCTTAAGGTTTCTCTCGAAGGCGTGATCAAGACTATTCCGAGTCCGAACCCTCTTACATTTGAAGCTCCATTCGTAAATAATGTCCAAACTCTCGATGTCGATTCCGACACCATTATTGCCTCCTTGGCTGCCAGAGGCAATAGTCCCGGACTGAAATCGGCCCCGAAGTCAGCCAAGACTTGCGACTTAATTGAAGTCCTTGGTTTATATTCTATATCGAACTCGCTCATTTATACAGCCCATTTGGCCAATCTATCCGAGATCTCGGGTTTATGGAGGATATTCCTCAAAGGGAAAGTAATCACCACATCTATCGGGTGGCATTGGAAGTAGGGCCTCAGCTTCCGAGTGGCGAATACGAGAGCTGAAGCCAGCTTTTCCAGATGTGGGTAGCGACTTTCTGCTCCCGTTAAAATTTTACTAATGTAATAAATGGGATATTGCGTACCTTCGTCCTCCTGGACTAAAATTGCACTTACCGCAACTTCTGAAACTGCGAGGTAGACTAGCAACATTTCACCTTATTTTGGTTTTGAGAGCAACGAAGGGCTTGACAAATATTTCATCAACTCCTTCAAGGCTTGCTGATACTCCGGTGTCCATTCAAAATTGTTTTTCTTTTTGAGTAGTGCGAAGAAATGATGACATTTTTTCGATGAACGGAAAATGAACCTACTCAAAGCTGCAAATCTCCCTGTGAGCCGTTGTACTTCTTTTACGTTAGACAATTGATCCAGGATGTCCTCTATGGCCTTGATTTTGTCGGGATTTACCTCAATTCCACTTTGTGAGACTAGGAACCCTAGAAACCTACCCGAACTGACCCCAACATCACACTTCTCGGGGTTAAGCTTCATATCATGCTCCCTTAGGATGTCGAATGCTTCTTGCAAATGCTTCAGGTGGTCACCTGCATTCAAAGACTTAATGAGCATATCGTCTATATATACTTCCATAGTCTTTCCAATTTATTTTTTGAACATCTTATTCACGAGCCGTTGATAAGTGGCTCCGACGTTTTTTAACCCGAAAGGCATCACATTGTAACAATATATGCCAAAATTTGTTATAAACGAAGTCTTTTCCTGATCTTCTGGGTTCATCTTGATTTGATTGTACCCAGAATAAGTATCGAGAAAACTCATAAACTCGTGCCCGGCCGTGGCATCGATCATTTGATCGATATTTGGCTATGGGAATGAGTCTTTCGGGCATGCCTTATTAAGATCCTTATAATCTACGCACATGCAAAATTTCTTATTTTTCTTAGGAACTACTATTGCATTGGCTAGATAGTCCAGATATATTACCTCTCAGATTGAACCAATATTAAGAAAATGAGTTACCTCTTCTTTGACGAATTTATTCCTTGTTTCAGCAATAGGGCGCTTCTTTTGCCTTAGCAGAGGTATGTTCGGATCCAAGCTTAACTTGTGTATGGCTACCTCCGGCGGGATTCCTATCATATCCTCGTGCGACCATGCAAAATAATCAGCGTTAATTTTAAGTAATTTAATAAAAGCAGACCTGAGCTCCGGGTGCAGTCCTATTCCTAAATGGAATTTCCTTTATAGGAATTCTTCAAACAACGCAACTTGCTCCAGTTCTTCTGCCGTGGACTTCGTTGCATCCGTCTCTTATGGTACTTGATAATACCTTGGTACCTGGTATTGTTCCGACTCTTCTGTCCCCGAGATAACTTCATCTGGTTCGGGAGCATATGCCAGTTCCAGTAATTGCTATGCCGCACGTTCCTTTCCTTTGCTACTGGAGACCGAAATTGCATTCATTTCCCTTTCTGCAGGTTGATCACCCCTTATCTGTTTGATCCCCTCGGTTGTCTGAAACTTTAACAGTTGGTGATATGTTGAAGGCACAACTTTCATCTCGTGCAGCTATGGTCTTCCCAAGATGATATTATATCCCATGTCTCCATCTACCACTTCAAAGAGAGTTGTCTTCATTACTCCCTCAACGTTCGTGAGCAGCAACATTTCTCCCCGAGTTGTCACATTTGCGAGGTTGAATCCAGTGAGGAGTTTCGTTGTCAGGATAATGCTTCCGGTGAGTTTAGCTTGTTCCATTGCTCTCCATTGTATGATATTAGCTGAACTTCCTGGATCCACTAAGACACGTTAAATTTTAAAATCT